TACAAGTTTATGTCTACTATTCACAAATTGTGCATGATTTTGCCAATTTTCTGGAACACATGCAGCTCCCTGCTGCTATTTACTTGCATGTAACTATATAGACCTGTCATGCATTTAATACAATTTAGTTAGGATCGACATGCAAGAGCAACAGGTGAATTGCTGTGGTTAGAAATGGCAGCAGCAGGGTCACCAAAGCAGTCTTCACACCTGTCATATTCATTCCCATTATCTGAATACCCCTGCCTGTTGACAGATCTTCCAGCACCTCATTTAATATTTGTCTGTTCTGGAACAAGAATCCTGCCTCCAGATCCCTCTGTTCTGAAAATTTCAGATCTCGAACAACTTCAGGTAAACTTGTCATGATTTTATGCAACTTGGCCAGGAACACTAATGGCAGGGTGTATAACACCAGCATTTCCAGGAAATCACCTAAAGCACTAGAACCAATCCTTATCACTTCTTTTACGTCTGTAAGCTTATCAGTGTACTCAAACGGTAGCTTGTATGTCTTGACTTGGTGACGAGTGTTGTTCGGACCTGTTATCTTTAAAAACAATCCCATTTCATTGTTGTTATAAAAACTACTGACATTAGAAACAGTGAAGCCCGTGTTTGATGGGATCTGTGCTGCTGGAGTTAACATCATGGGGTCGCTGTATTTCTGCCGGTAGTAGATCTCAGTTTGGAAGCGTTCAGCACAAGAAAATATTGACGGAATGAGCAGTATCAACAGCAGGAGTAGGTGTGTGATGAGGAAAGGTTGAAAATTCCTTTCTGCATCCCGAATCATTTTTTTGATATCTATGAACCGATTCCTCGCTTCTTCGAATTTATCCTCGGGCCACTCTTGGATCTGCTCTTTGAAAAAGCGAATGTGACTGAAGATGATGTAGACTTCGTAAATGAAGCCAACAAACATCGGCAGCGCTACAAGGCGGGCGAAAAGTGACAGAGAATTCGCCAAACTGATTTGCTTCACGTTAAAAGATGCCACTTTTCGAGTCGACAAATTCATTTGGACAGCTTTCAATAAGAGCGGGAAGAAGATCACGCAGCAAATTACAGCAAGGATTGCTTTACTGATGGTTTTTTGGGTTTTCTTCCAATATCGCCTTGTCAAAATCACTTTTGATAGCATTCTCTCCAGGTGACGTTTCCGAAAGTAAAGCACCCCAAGGACGTTCAGTTCCAGAAACCTCAGAGACCAGATGAAATTTTTGGCCGCAGTGACAGTTTCATTCATTTCCTCTTTAACCAGGGATCTGTTGTTAAAGGCACCCATGTCGAAGCCGTAGCAACATACGAGGATACTCACGATTAGAACCTGCATTGTGGTGCAAATCGCCTTCTCTGTGGCGGAAGCGGTGTCTGGAAACCACTGAAATGTGCTCCTGATATAAGCTTTCAGCCCAGTTAACCTCGCAGAACTCTCTTCTTTATCCAAACTTAAATGTATGATTTCATCCTCTTCTGTTTCTGAGTTGTCTTCAGCAACGCTTTCGTTGCTCTCGCTTGGGCGCTCTCCCCCGTAGTCCAGTTGTGAACTGTTTATGCTGCCTCTACTTCCACTTAAGCCGTCCTCAACGGTCTCCACGTGCACAACGACGAATTCATTCCTATAAATTGGCGTCGTGTCCTCAGACATGATTAAAACCAGCTGTCAAAACAACCAAACAACTGAAAAACGCCACAGTGAAGACGATCGATATAACTGACAGCGGAGGGGCGGCGGCTGTTTGTCTAAACGTACTTTTAAAAAAACGAGGCGCGGGGGATTCCCCAACCACTTTCAATCGAAACTGAAAGTTTTTTGTGGCACAAGGGAATTAATTTGATACGATTTTGTGGGTGAGGCCTGAAAACATGTAGAAACACGTCTCTAATTCGTGTCTAATTGTTATGTATCGGTCAAATCGAAGCTTCAACATGCCCCCCCGGGCATACCCCGGGCATTTGACACCTTTGCGGTCCCGGGGAGGAGGGAATTTGATGATCAGAGTCTTCCAGGGGGTGGGGAATTTGATCCCCGTGCTTTAGGGGTGGGGAATTTGAACTGCACCCTCGATTTGATGTAAAATCTTTGGCGTGGTGAGCTATCATGGGGGACGCGGTGTTGGAGGATTTTCGTGGAAAAGATTGTGCCTTTGTGGCCAGTTGGTTACGAGGAAAGGGATTAAGCAAGCTTTGTGCCGTATTTGAAGTATTTAAATTTTAAAATTTTTAATTGGATTCAGGCTTTGAATGTATGAATGTGTTTTATTGTTGTGTTTACATTCAAATACAATACCTATACCGGCGATTCAATACAACAACATAAAATAAAATAAAATAAAATAAAATAAAATAAAAAGCTTAGGTCAACTTCTTTGACCTTCTGCAAGTATGTTAATTAATAAGGTGAGCGATGATGCATGTCAGTGAAATGGTCATGATGTAGCAGAAGCTCAATAGGTGGAGTCTTTTTATATAGAACGCTTTGTATTTTGCATGACGAAGAAAAGCTGAGCATTCAGTGACCTTGTAGCAGCGATTCTGGCCGCTTTGCACGAGACTTTTGTTCGTAGTAAATACGTTGTTATATTTATAAAGATTTTGTTCGACAACCGAAGGCGTTTCCGCCGTTCTTCTGTCATTTTTTTTGCCTGTGAAATGTCCCCAGGGTGGGGGCATTTGATCACCTGAATGGACCCTAGTGTGGGGCATTTGACCGGCATTTTGCCCCGGGTAGGGGGGAATTTGAACAATAATTTTCAAAAAAGGCAAATGCCCGGGGGGGCATGTTGAAGCTTCGATTTGACCGATACATTATACGGGGATAATACGCTTGTTCCCTTTTCGCTTTGATTGTTGATCAAAATCGTGGACAAAATAGACGGAAATACTACTGAACAGTACCGCAAACCTTGGGCCTCCCTGTGTGCGACAAAATGCAGCATGCAGACTGGCAGCAGACAAGCCGAAAAATGAACGAGGTTTACAAGTAATGTTGTGAAATCCTCTCAAAACTATACCTAAACTTTGAAGCCTTGTTTAAGTCTTGGGAGAGTGTTGAAAACATTTCACAACATTTTTCATACCTAGTTTACCCGCCAGTCTACAAGTCAGCAGTCTGCATTTAATTCGTGTCGCACAACGTCTTTCCGACCCTATCCGATCGCCCTACTAAGTTTCAAGGCGTGACGAATGTTAGATCTGATTCATTCGTTTACGTCCGTTACCGACCCTGAAATTTGTCATCTTTCCATCTCAACCACAATAGAGTGTGCTTTTGACCCTAGCCAGTACAAAGGACGCATGTCAATCAACAACACTGTTACATGCTATAACGGAAAGTTCCCTCGGTCCACAAGATACCAAATGTCAAACAATTCCCAGCTCTATAGGCCTCTGTATCGCCGACAGGTGGTCTTGTCCTTCTGATGTTCAAGCCTCTTAAAATGAAAGCGAGGCCTCGTACACAATTTGACTTTAATTAATGATAAGAGACTTCACAAATCTCATGTTGAGAAAAGCCAAAAGGAGTTCTGATCTGGCGCAATGCAATGCTATGCAAGTTTCCTAGTTATGTAACTATTAAGCACATTTCGATAACAAAACTATGTATAGAGTACTAAAGTGCAAAATATAATCGGAAAATATTTACAGGAATTTCTACTATGAATTTCTTTTTAATATCCCGCCACTTAACGGGTAAACCTTTCTTTGTAAATGATACTTAACATTTAAAATAGAAATAGAACTTCAACTCTTGGGTTGTCTCCGTGGGAAGTCAACATTTGTCGACAAGCGATTTTAAGACTGTATAGCTCTCCCCCTCCCTCACAATATTGTTAAGAGAATTTGTGCTAAGTAGCCTGTGTACAGACGTCTCCCCTCCTCAGGCAAAAATCGGGAGAAGAGAGTTTTTCCTGGGGCAGGGGAGACGTCTGTACACAGGCTAGTGCAAAGTTGACAGGAATATAATATTATTTAAACTCGTTCAACTTTGCCAAGACTTTATCCACACGTATCCGGATATTTTTTGAATCCGCAAAGTTTTCTTTTCGGATTCAAAAATTTCTACGTCCACACGTATCCATCCGTATTCAGATCGAATTTGCCCGTCCACACCTCACGTTTCCGACACGTATCCGGATTCACTCTAGTACTTAGGATTCCTCTGGGAATATTGCCAACAGAGCATGCATCGAGGTTGCCATCTTGAATACAGTATTCACTGGGCTCGATCTTGTTACGTCATCGGATAAAAAGATATCCAGATTTAGCGTCCGGACGATTCATAGCGCATTCAAAAATTTCCACTCTGGAGAGCGGATTCTAAGCCAGTTGCGGCTTTGTACGCCGGATTCACCAGATACGTGTGGACAGAGGCCGAATCCGGAAAGAAACAGTTGCGGATTCATAAAAATATCCGGAAACGTGTGCACAGGGCCTAAACGTTGCATCCGAGAAACTGTAAGAAAAATTGTGTAAATGNTTCCACTCTGGAGAGCGGATTCTAAGCCAGTTGCGGCTTTGTACGCCGGATTCACCAGATACGTGTGGACAGAGGCCGAATCCGGAAAGAAACAGTTGCGGATTCATAAAAATATCCGGAAACGTGTGCACAGGGCCTAAACGTTGCATCCGAGAAACTGTAAGAAAAATTGTGTAAATGAAAGTATTACAAAATTGATATGTTGGGAACAACTTAATTTGTCTTAACATTACTTGCGTTCTGTGACTTGAAATCTTGATGCCGTTCGAACTTCTTGCATGTACTACTCCCGTAAAGCTCACCTCTTTTTAAAGAAAGAATTCATTTAAGTGTAAATCATTTTTGTGAAGCGTATGCTGGACCGTTTGACACAGCTTTCTCTTGACATTTTTTTTATGACTCGATAAATGTTTGGAGAACGTTGAATTAATGAATTAGACGAAGTAATGAATAATATGCCACATCATTATTGCGTTTTTCCTCAGCGTTAGTTACCCTAGCCTGTAAAATACAAAGTACCCTCTAAGAAATGAAAGCAGAAACCTAACGCCAGTATCACACAGTTCAACATTTCAAATGCTACAGTTCGCGTTGATCAACTGAACGGAATAACGCCAATCTCTATTCGAGTTCAAGATTCTAAACGGCCGGGTTTCAACATTTAAAATGGCACAACTGCTGAGCCGTGTAATAAGTAAATGAATATCAAAAGCTACACTGAAATTCCAAGGGAATAAAGCCCCGATCTACATCTGACATCATTTGATATCAGCACGAGGGTTATATGAATCTGATATCAGAGAAGGTAATGCTATTTACCAAGTTTGCACCACAAATTGGTTTACAAATGTTTGCACTAGGGAGTGGTTTAACCGCTATACGACGATCTAACTTTAAAAATAAATTTGAAAGATGGTGGATGGGAGAGATATTAGTAGTGAGAGCTTTTTAAAAAATGCACACCGAGTGAAAACAGGACGTAATTAAGTACAGACGAGTAGAATAGATCCCGTTGACCATACTGGGTTTTGTTCTATAAACCTACACGCTGTTTGTGTATTTAGCCTGGAGTACAGTGGCCGTTGCCGTAGCTTGAGAGCTTTTTTTTTTGTATGACGGCCATTACACCTGCTCTATCCTGTCGGTTCTTGCTTGAAACTTCAGCACCACTATCACGAGCCCAAACAAAAATGAAACAAGTCTTATGTCCGTATTTCTCCACTCACAAATCCATATAAATTCAAACATTCACTGAGGCTCCTACTTTACTGGACCGTACATCACACTCATAGACTTTTCAAGAATACGACCATACTTCACCGACAAGACACCAGCTTGGTGAAGACTCAGCTCAGCAATATAGGCCGCTAAGAAGCTAAAAGTCAACATCGGAATCATTAATATCGTCCACTGCAGCCTCATCCGGGTCGAACGTAACAAGAGAGGAAGGTGAAGATCCGGACGGGCTTAAGCGTTCAGTAGCTTCCAAGGCTACAGGAAACCGCTGATGGTATCGCTTTAAAGTTAAATACTTGACAGCAACAAGACGACCTACAATGAAATTTAAAATTATGTTAATAACGCGTTAAAATACCATGTCTTCAGTCACAATAATATGAAGTCAAAGGGCATGTTAAGCGGTTAGTCGAATCTATAACTGATGCTGAATTTGCCGTTAGGTTGTTTCGTGGTACTAGGCTAACAACATTTCTCCTCCTTGCGAAATTTTGACAAACCTTACCAATATTTAAAAGTGTAGTTGTCCACCGCTAAGCGAAGCAGGACAAAAATTCGCTGACTCTACTTGTAAAATGGAGGTGATGGCAAAGACTTTGAAAAGGAAACACAAATTCGTTTTGAGCGGAGTAACTCTTAGATATCACTGCACGAGCGACCTGGAACAAAGGTGACTTGAAACGTTTACGTTGCATTAGCCCTTGCAAGAAGTATAAATTGATTCTACATCGTGGTGCAACCGTGCTGCAGCAAAAATGTTGCCATACATCATGGTTCACTTGACCAGAGTTCGTACAACTAAGAGCAAATAAAATTCAAGGAGTTTTCCACGGTATAGACATGAAAATTCCAGTACCCAAAACTTGACAATTCTTTATGGGTCAAAGAATTTTCGAACGAAAAAAAGCGAAGCGAATACATTTCTCCACCTCACAATGGCCACGTTCATCCACTATAACAAAAACAAGGTGAAAAAGTTGGTTGGCTGAATATTCCACGTATAAAAAGTGATGTTCCACTTACGATTTGTTCACCGTAAGTCTGTTTTAACAACACACTACAATAGTACACTTACCATCAAACCAACATCCATGTAAACTTCTAAAGGCGAGCCCTGCTGAATGATGAGTGTCACACTTGACATACACACATCCCTGTAAAGTATCAAACAAGTACATTGACTATGAGAGTTTTGTTATAAATACAAAAGCATAGAGCGTTTTCACTCGTTTTCACTCACTGGAACACTAGCCTGCGTGGCAGGCGTTCGAGAGGGAAGGGGAAGGGAATTAGGGCGCGAGACCACGTGCCCTACGCAGGCTACTGGAACACCAACATGGCCACCGTAACGTTACGTAAGTTTTCCATCCTGGAATTTGAAACCTCGTTTACTTTTAATGTCTCGCTATTTATTTAAGGCTACAGGAAATGTTATAAAAACAGCACAAATTTGAATGATACCTCACTAGAACTCTTGTCTACTGCTATGTGAACCACATCTGCTCCATTCTCAATACACTTTTCCAATATGGCATCCTGAATCATCACATGCCAGTTATCGTCCGTCTCACTGCAAAGAGCATTTGAAAAGAAACGATACTTAAAATAAATTGTTTTCAAACTTAGACTGTTCACACCCCCCATTTTTTCCGTACGATCGGCGAGATTTAGCGCTACTGGCGGCAGCTAACTTGACCCAGTCCTGCACCCCTATAAACCCCGAGGCCCGCCCCCTCGGTACATTTGAACCCAATTACAAAATGGCTGCCAGTGACGGTGAGCGCTTGATCTTGACGATACGGAAAAAAAAAACAGGGAATGTGGACAGTGTATTTCAAAGTTCATAATGAAAAAAAATGTCAATATTATCTCTGCCTCCCCCCCCCCCCCCCCCCCACCCCCCCCCCTCCCCTTTCTTTTTTTTTTATTTTTATTAGGGTTTGTTCGTTCTTTCATTTCAAATCCCAAAACAAAAACCACAAGAGAAAACCAACCTCTACTTCATGTTTGTAAAAATTGTTTTTCCCGCGGCTTTGGCTCTTACTCAGTTACGAACCACAAACAAAAAATCCATCGGCAAACCGCCTTCTAAGTCTTGTTGTGAAAAAGGTATGCTGATGAACTGTCAATACATCATAATTTTAGGTTACCAACAACACGAATATTGAAACAGGAGGAAATCCAGTTTAACATTTCTTTCTAGTTTAAAATCTCCTACATGATGCAAAAGGGGTAGCATCAAGCTGCAAGAAGTAAAGGTTCTTGACTCAATCCCAGGGCTCTCACCAAGAGAGTTGCCGGGTATATGCACAATCATTGACGTAGAATTGAACAGCCAGGAGGTTCTTATTGGTTCAATCTTTCTTTTGTTTCCTATGAAACCAGGGGATAACGCTCAAAGTACCCAGGGGAAATCCCCAGCCTCGCGCCCATAATGACAGCCTTGAAATACCCAAAAAAAGCAAAGGGCATAGACAGGACACATATTTTCAACTTACACATCTGGATCAAACATGTTCCTTATCTTCAAACATGGTGTTGGACTGATTACAGGAGGATTAACAGCTGACTGGAAGTTCTCAAATGCTGGAAAAGACAAATAAATTTCAGTCGATGCTCTTTCTCTTTCCTTAAAGGAGCTGTATCACGAAATCTATCAGAATTCAAACAGGGGGAGCTGCCACCAAATTGAGTGAAACATTAAAATAACCGCTCAAAACATTCAATGAAGGTACAAATAACACAGCAACTATGAAAGGAAGTAATTGCGGTTTTTGAAAACTTGTTAGCTTCTCAAAGTTCATGTTTGTTGTTTGTAAATTTGACATAATGCTTGGGAGACATATTTGTTTGACATGAAGCTGTGATTCAGTCATTTGCGAGTAATATCTTGGCTAATGTTAAGGGTAACCGGTCATCTCGCCACAAAGAAGTTGACTCGCTGCCAACCAACTCGCCACCAAGCAATAACTCTGTAATCAAATTCAAATAAGCTTGGCAACGAGGTAAACATTCTAGGTAAGTAATCCTAGGTGAGTAAATGTGTTGATTAATGTAGCTTCTTGGTGGCGAGTCGACTTCTTGGTGGCGAGATGACCATCAACCAAGTTAAGTTCCAAAGAGAAATAACAGCTTGCAACATACCAGTGGGTTTTTTTTTGGCATAAGGTACCCGTTTACAAAATAAAGAGATATACAGGAGTATCACAGTATCCACAAAGCAGCACAATGTGAATATCCTATGACACCAATACAGTGACTGTGTTTTACAGGAAGACTAAAGCAATCTCAGCAATACGGAACATAAAGGTGCTCTGCTTACCTTGTCCCTGCCAGTATTTTCCATGTTTGTTGCCCTGCAAAAAGACAAGACGCAATCAGAACTCTTCAGCATGAGCAAAGAAAGTTTATAGGATACAGCTGAACTTATCCTTAAGGAAACTTTCATCATATTGACACCTTTTAAAGTAAATAGTTCTTATAATTTTATGAAAGAGGATCATCAAAGTTATAGATGCAACTTTTGCAGTTGTGAAAAGAACGCCTGAAAAATTCAATGACCTGCTCCCAGTTGGCTTGTTAGCTCAACTGGAAAAGCCCAGCACTGGTATTGCAGAGGTCAAGGGTTCGAATCCCGTACAAGCCTGAATTTTTTTTCAGACTTTCTTTTCACACTGCAAAAGTTGCGTCTATAACTGTGATGATCCTCTTTCATATTATTCTCCACCCCTCTGTTCTCATATGTGATTTTCATATATTCATAACTGCAAATAGTTCTCTTGGTTACAAAGACACCTAACTTCACACAATCCCTGGCACATCTCAGTCTGTAATGCAGACACATGGTGTGTGTTGTATTGTCCATTTGAAGGAGGGTATTTCCTACTGGAGTGGTTAAGTTTGTAAAAAAACAGAGCTACGAATTTAATGGTGACATACATGCCACACACAAGACTCAAAGTTTACATCTCTAGATAGATCACACATATGTACATCCAAACAAGCAAGGAAATTTCTCATGGATATGCCCACCATGAGGCCCCACTTACATAGAATCCAAGTTATTTGTGAACATATCACAAGCCTTCATTTGCCGTGATCCCCTTGAGATGTACGCCCAAGCATAAAATCCATGGCGATTAAAATACAATTCATATCAGCCAATAATTAAGATACATCACATAAAATTAATATGGTTATTAAACTGACAGCATTAACTTACTGCAAGTGACAATTTAGGGTTTCGAGGTTTGGGTGTGGCAATGTGTATCCACCTCCAAACTTCAAAATCCTCTCCAGCTATTCTCTGGCTTTCAACACGAATGCGAGATTCATTTGCACTCAAGAACCGAACTGCTCTGTTCCATGCTTTGGACAATCTTTGTCTGTTAAGACAAAAATGAAGTTAGAATCACTCCTTACCTATAAAGGAGAATGTTTACAGGTATGTAGGCCAGAGGGCTGCTTTGTTCATGAAGGTCCAAGGCAAACAATGCACAAAAAGTTGCATATTTCTTGTAAAGTTAATCTTTTCAATAAGTTCACAAAATGTTTGGTGACTACTTCATGTTAATGAATCAATCCTCCAGACCCTGTTTACCAATAATTATTATTCCTGATAACAACAATTTCATGTACAGTACACTTTCCATTTAAAGGGAACACATTCCCTTTTAAGATATGGTTTTTTATTTTGACACAACAAATTGAGTGATAATAGCCCTTATACAAACTCATGCAGTTAATAGTATGTGCAAAATTCAAGAGCATAAATGGCTCACTAATGTAAAGCCCATACAGATCAGATGCAAATAAAAATTGTGAAAAGAAACAATGAGTAGAAATCGGTTTCAAAAGTTAATGAAAGCTAAATAGCTGAGCAGGTGTTTGTATCAAAATGTTAATTCCACTGTAATTTAATAATACCTCTAATGCACACGTACTAGATACAGAAACATAAAAAAATTAATAGTATTAATCATCACTTGACTATCTTACTTTGCAATAGTACAAGTCCTTTGCAACTTTTTCAAATAATTATTTATTAATCAACAAACATGACTCCACACTCCACATAAGACAGTGCATGAGAAAATCCTATGTACTGGGAGACACAGAAGAAGACAACAAACCATTTTACAAACCTATCAGATGGAGCAATCAGCATATCTCTGACATGAGGAATTGGAAGATAGGGCAACAAATTCTTATCTGTTTTGCTTGCTTCATGATGTTCTCTTAAGACATCTATTTATTTAAGTGAAAAACAAAATATTTTTATGGTCAATATTTTGATCCGCTATTAACATAAATTATTTTCATTCTGAAAAATAGTCTATTCTACTTGCTTTAAGAATACTGTTCACTGCAAACATGTTTTTAGCCCTTGAACTGAGTGAGTACATCTCTGTATCACAATGAAACAATGATCCTACTTTAGGCTGCATATCTTTGCCTAGAGAACTACCAACAGAGCAATAGAATGTTAAATTAATATTCTATTAATGCATACCAATAATATTTTCCACAAACTGATACATCTTTCTAGTCTCTTCCTCCTCTCTCCTCCATCTTTGACGAACAATGAAGTATGCAACCATTAGACCTCCAATACCTTAAGAGAAACAACAACTTTATGCTAAAGGAACATGACAGCTGTACATGTGAATGAATCACTTGTTACTTTTTGAAACAACCAGACTACAGCCACTTTCATTGCATACATTAATTTGTGTTAAACACATTTACTGAAACACACCCACTGGAAAATGTTACCCTGGGAAAAGTGGGGTACCCATTCTGAAGGCATTTTTGGTCTTTTATGAACTCTTAGCAAACCAAAAATCTCACATCTCACATCAGTTCTCCCATCTTACAAAGCAGATACAACTGTAGCAATATTTGCATTGTTTTTAAAGTGTTGGAAAAATCTTTCTGATATCTATAAAATTACAGAGCACCAATTATTTGAAGCAACATGGTGCATTTTGTCTTGTAGTGACTGACATCCCACGGGCTGACATTTCTAATTATTCTAAAATTTCTGTAGTCTTCTGGCAAATTGACTCAATAGCAAAAAAAGTTATTACATCCCACAAGAATCAGAACAGTGAAAGAGCTGTGAGACAGGGCCTACTGTATTTCATCCTTATCCCAGAAGACTAGAATGTCTAACCATTTGTAGATGTCACAACAAAGGCAGCACATTCTCCTCAGTTAGTTTAAGAACCTGAGAGTTGGTCTGGCTGGGGTTTGAACCCATAACCTTTTGCTCGACAGCCTGGTGCTTATCCGTTTGACCTAACTGGGCAGCAGTCATTTTCACACTGAGAATTTTACATGGCTAGTAGAAACATTTGTTGCATTGTTTTGTAGTGAGAAAAGGATTGGTAGGTGAGTTCAACTTTTACCTCATTAAAATGTTGTTTGTTCTTTTTTCCCCTCTTGTGGGTACATGTAGTTTATACTTTGGAGGATTCTTAGGGCTGACTGAACAAAATTTTGCCATTTGTTTTACAATTTAACAATTTTCATTTGATACGTCATTCCCACCTTCAATTTAGCGGCAAAAAGTAGTTGACTTCTCTGAGCAAAGTAGCTGGTGTGTTTCATCAGTTGGAGGTGTTTATTACAGTACTATAGTGGAGGCCACTGTCGATAAAGTTGACCAATTGGATGACAGGAAAATAACAATATGATCTGAGAAAGTTAGTAGTCCTTTGTAATTACCACGGAATGAAATTAAAAACATGGATTGAAATTAACCAATAACTACTTCAAAACGTGACCTTTCAGACCCGTTGAACAAAGCCTATGCCTCCTGAGAAATCCGATGGAGTGTTGATAGAGGCAAAAAATGTGAATGTTAGTTATATTTTGGACTTCATGTCACTTTTTTATTGCAAAGTGAAGCAATAGCGTCAAAGAAATTGCTGGTAGATGACAAAATAACAGCTTGTTTCAAACAAATATGTCTCCTGGGTGTTATCTGTTAAGTTTAGAATAGAAAAACATTCTCTGGTAAAACATTTTGCTTTCTTGAAAAATGTTTGTTATCATATTTAAATTTTGTAATTTGAGCAACTTATTGTTTTTTAACGAGCTATTGATTGGCCCACAACTAACCTTCTTGGATTGTTTTGTTATTTTCCTGTAATCGGATTGGTCAACGTTGTCTAAGTGGCCCTGGTTTCAGTTGTCGCACTGTAAAACTCCTGACTCACACGTTAATATTATGCAAACAGTTCCTGATAAGCAAATAAGTTATTGAACCAAATACCAGAACTTACCAAATCCAATTACAAAAGAAAGGTAAGCCAAGCGAGACATTGCTTCTTTGATGCGGCACATGAGAGGTTTGGCTGCAACAGAACTATCAATCCATCTTATGGAGCTTACATTTTCTATGGACGTTGTTTGAGTGTTGTTTTCATCGAACAACCTAGAAAAGAGAAAACTTAGTTAGAAGCTGATACTCAAAATTCATTTTCAATAATATCTGCAAAAATAAATATCAAATAAAACTTTTGCAGTTGTTTAACACAAAAATATGAGAAACAAGTTAAACTTTCAAATGAATACCAAATAGCATGTCAGGGAGTATTAGCTACAAAGCCAATTCCCAGGTCATTGGCACTAAAGGCTGAGAAGGTGTTAGGATGTCTGCAAAATTATAAGGGATTGCATGGAAAAAATAATTGCTCATGACCACAAGGTGTGCGGTCCAGCAACCTATCTCTGATACACATAATTATTTTCTCAGGTATTCAAACCACCATAAAATTGCACCAGTAAATTGCACTGGTAAAGAGTTTAAACCCTACAAATTAGCACACCCACTAATAATTTGTTTGATGCTCCCTTTTATTTTCAGGGTTGTATCCCATAATTTTGGCAACAGTCAGCTCGCATGCCAAGAAACTATAGATGATGGCACCCAGGAAAAGATCACGAACATTGATGGACATGATCTGAATCCAGAATTATTTAACTGAAGTGCTTTAAGTTCTACAGTGTATGAATTATGTTGTAAGTCAAAATTATATTCAGCTTAAAATTTATTGACCTATGTTGATTATCAAATTTCCTTTGGGATTGTCTTCAAGTCCTACAATCATTATTCATGAATTTGGGCTGGGACATATATACCTGCACTACAATTTTTTTAGGAGAAGGATGGTGTATTGGTGTCATAACTCCCCAAAAAGCTACTGAGGGAGAGATCAGAACTGAATATAATAATTCTAAGCATTCCTTTACTTACTTCTTGCTGAAAAGATAGTGCTTATGATAAAAGTGGTCAAGAAAAAATAAATTGCTATGAAGAGTTATTAATATGTTTACCAAAATCAATAATATTTTTACATAAATAGTTTCAACCTAGCATAAAAGAAAATTGAAGTTTCTAAGTAAGTTGGTAATAGAACTGACATAAATCAGCAGTCAGACAACCAAACATGAAGTTATAAGACTTGTAAATTCTGGTTAAGTCACTTTTAATGTACTTATGAAAGCTAGTCCAGTGATGGCAATATTATTTTGTGCACTTTCTCATTACCTTAATTTCCAGTCAGGCTCTTCAAGAATAAGTTTCAGAGTATTATTTAATATTGAGTCTCGCTCTCTCTACAATGTTAAGAAAATTACAAAATTAAAGGGATAAGACACTCAACCTATGTATTAACTAGACCAAAAAAAACAGTTTTGGTCATGGCCTTTCTTGGCTGGTATGCATTATACAACTCTTTGGTTGGTAAACTAATATTGTTTAGATGGTAGTTGTCACATTGTTTCCAGATTTTCCATTCAGAAAATTAATGTCCACATTCAAAGAGTGGCACTTGGTCTAGGGGCCGGCTGGCCAGCCTCCACTGGAAGCCCCTGGAGTTCCCATACACCCAAACTCCAGTCAGCAATGTCATTGTTATTAAAATGGTGACAACAGCCTCCTTGAAATAAATGAGGTGTTATCAAGAGGGAGGGATTATAACAGGTATGGCAAGGAATTAGCCAATCGTCAGAATGTACTGAAAACTAATGAAGCAACAAATGACTTGACGTATGTTATAGATAATTCATGAAAAATGCAGTTATACAGGTTCTTGTAACTTTGTTTGTTAAAATCCTTAACTGTTAGGTAAAAAATTATAATTTTGTCCCACATAAACATTGCATAAGTAAGGATTTTGTTTGAAGATTCATACACCAAAATTAAGACAAAAACCATAAATAGAAATGAAACAATGATAAATATTATTCACTTACGTCATCTTTCCAAATTTGTTTCTTAAACTCGTCTAAGGAAATATTTCTTGTTTTTACTCTCGGATCTTGACATTCAAAAAAACCTGAATTATAAGAAAAAAGATACAAATAACCCTTATTATTAGATGTTGTTTGTAAACGTACATGTATGTTAATAGAACACCACCCAGCTTGAGGCAGCACTTTTCCGTGATTCTGTTTTTTAGTGCTGCCGCACATCTTGAAGTCAATATTATTCTTTAAGTGTTTAGTACGGCATCATTCTCAGGTGTTATGCACCTACTGGCATGATGAAACATGATCACAGCGTCATTCATCTCTGTTATGCTATAACATGTAGGCAATTTTGCATTTTTAAATCTATTTTCTACACAATTCCTGTAACTAATAAAAGTCTTTGATGCTTACTGACTATTTTTTTTCTGTATCTACCTACTGCAAAACAGACGGTACATTTTAGCAATGATCAAAAGAGCACAACAGTATTCACGCCAAAGGTGTGGAGCAAATGTGAAAATGGCATGCAAGGATCAATCTAGATAGCTCAACAGTTTAACTTAAACGGAAAAAGTGTCTGTTTTGCAGTCTATCTGTTATTCTCAAACACTTTAAAAGCGCTGCACTCTTGAATAACAAGATATTCTTGATGTTACCTGCTTTTGTGGTCAGATCTTTGTACAAAGATTCTGCATACAGCTTGCTGATGTTAAGTGACGGTATACAGGCAAGAGACTGAGAGAAAGAAAAGAAACAAAAAATTATTGAATTATTGTAACGTAATGTTGACTCCCAATAACTCGAACCACTGCTAACTCAAACCTTGCACTAACTCAAACCAAAATCGAGCTCCAGGAATTTTCTCAGAACATTTTACTGTTCAGAAGGAACGCTTTCAGGTTCAAACTACTTTTTCACTGCTGTAAAAGCTCTGATACACTGTCATGCACATGGGGAAGTGGACCAATTGTGAGGTGCACAAGAAACCCACCTATCAAAATGCTTACATAATAATTTGCAACTCTACTGAATTGTCAAAACAAGCTTTTTTTGCACCTACATGTATTCGCAAATGGATTATACCAGTGGTCTAGATGATGTGTGGCTAGATAAAATGCAGGCTATATGGAAATTGAAACGGTTTCAACTAACACAAAGGCTTTCTACTACAGTTTGAGACAAGCCATAAAACCATTATTCAAACCACCAAAAGTTACTACCTCAAAAAGTTTTTAATAAGCAAGTCTTTGGAGTCATTGTTACCTATATTTTGCTTGATGGTGTTCAAAAATTCATAACTAACATTTTTGGGTGCAGTAAGGAAAAATTGAAAACAAAAAGTGCTTGTATTGTACATTGCAAATGTAAGGTGATAAGCAAATCAGGATTGTAACATATTACATGTGCAAATGTTGGCTCTTCCAAGCAAAGCTAGTGAAAGCATGTCACAAGAATCAACACAAAAATGTTGCCATAAGATACAATATTAATCCAGTGACAATATTCATCACTGTATTGGTAAAATGTCTAAGTGGGGATTAAAAAATAATAATACATAATTGCAATATCATCTTTTGTCACTCTACAGCTTTTTTTACAAAAAAACCCACTTGTTTCTTTATGTCTAAATGTAAGTAACAAAATGCAGAATTCCATGACATTTTTACATTGAACCATCAGTAGGTACACTGTAGATACACCTGGAATTCACAAAAGTTCAAAGTCTGAGAAAAGATGTGATATTATTTGAAGGAGAACACTCTTAACGGCTTACTTTTAAGCTGGATGACCATTTTGATATGGTAAACATGTATCTCATTTAACTGCAGATGATAATTTCTAACTATATGTCATAGACAGTACCAGAAATAAATTTAATTATAGTTTTGTTGGCTACCAAAATTCCAATCAAAATGGACTTCCAATGAGCGGTGCTTTAAAGGAACACACAGACTTAAGAAGCTATCTGAACTTGCAGGTTTATATTCTTTGCAAAATAGCCATGATTTCCTTGAAAGAAATCAATCAGAGTGCTGTCAGTAAGATTTCAAGTTGCCGAGTAATTACAACAAGTAGGTGGGGAGTCAAACAGCTAGGGAATTCTTTTGCTTCTATTTTTCTTCTATTTTCCTATAGAAGTAGCCGAGGACAATGTTCATAGTTGTCGGGGAAAATCCCCAGCCCCCGGTCCTTAATGACACTCCTGATTCGCAAGCCAACTGGGCCCAACCTTGTAAATGCACATAAAAATAGAAACCTGATATTATTTTGGTTATATTGGCAAACAATGCTTATACAAATTTTGGGGGGGAAATAAGGTGTATTATGGGAGATGTGCAAGTGGTGTATTACACAAGTTTCACTTCTTCAGCTTTTAACTTCAGTTACTGCGCTTGTGTATCTTTACATTGATAAAATGTGTCCTTGATGTTTTCCTAAGAGACCGCTTAATAAGGGCACCCCAATAATATGGACGCTGTGGCAAGTCCCCTTGGTGTCCAAATTATCTGGGTTTTACTGTAGTAATTTAGGTATTATAATTGATAGTAATTCAATTCTCTTCCTTTGTCAATAAACTGGCCAGTGGGTAGCCAAAAAGGTTTAAATATATGGTACAAGAAGTTATAGTACCTGAAGAAATAAAGTCACAATTGCATTGCCATTATTGATCAATTATGATAATTACCGTATTATCATTAATCAATCACAACATCAGGCCTGCAAATATTTTTTTTCAAAGGGACATTTGTCTGACCAAGTCACCACTTTCTGTCGGACAAACCAGAAGTTATCAGGTCGGTATTTACAGCTTGTACATGTATCTTGACTTTTGTTTTCTTTCAATACTATGCAAATCTTCAGCTGCAAAATGGTAGTTTTGATTATTTTTTGATCTATTGGATCACTACATCCAACTGCGGGTTCGATTTCATCTGACATTGGGTATGCGGTATTTCAGTCAGATATTTTTAAATATGATATTTGCAGCTATGCAACATACTTGTTGAGTACATCACGAAAATAGATACCTTATTATCACTATCCAACTTCTGTAGTTTATTATCTCCTCCTTTGCAAACTGGTAGTTTCACTAAGAAAACAGAGTGAGATAAAAGACTTCCTGCTTTAAACATTATCAAAAGGGTATAAAATTAATGATCAACAAAAGTGGCTGAAATCATGCTAACTGATTACTAAAGTGCATTGTATCCACAAACTAATTAAATTAACTTGATCATTAGAAAATAACGTAATCTTGGCATCTTAGATGGCATGCACATATATAAATACTGGTAAAAATTGAGACATTCAGCAAAAAGACATGTTATATTTCTTACCTAACTGTTCAAGGAGCTCTTCCTCGCTCAAGTGGCTCTTGAGTGCGGCATACAACATGAAGATAGTAACGCAAATAACGCTAATCAATACCAAGATCTTGATTGTTAAGGACCACAAGGAGCTAGTTTTCACATTTTTGGCTCCATTTTGTCTCTTTCCAAGAGTGCTGTTTAATTCCGTATTAATAGCAGCGCTGTCATCGCGGCCATACAAAGAAGGACGGACTGCGTGCAGAGTTTCTGATTTTTCACTTTCTACTCTCTCTCGCTTTCTCTCGAAATATCTAGTTATACCACCAGTTCGACTTGTTCCTTTGAAAGACACCTTTCCGTCCTGATCTGAAAACTCCGCGTCATTGTCACCTGTATTATCTAAAGTCCTTTCAGGAAGGCTGTCGATAAAACTTGGCACTCGATGCCGTAAGCCACTAGTACGAGTAGGAGACGGCGTTGCGCTAATTCCTGATCTTTCCGCTGTTTCGTCATTACTGGTCGCTGTTTCTTTACGTCTACCTCTTAAACTACTCAAATCTCTTGAAGTACTTGAAAGGCTGGGCCCTGCGTCTTCTTCATCGCTTGAAAATCCGATCAGTTTTCGAGACGGGCTCTTGCTTCTTTTTACGGGTAACGACTTGCGGCGGCCAGGCGAAGTACCGCGCTTTGCAGAAGATTTTCCTTCCCTTGATTTACCCACTCCTTGCTCATTCCGCAAGCGTTTCAGTTTTCGAATAAGGAACGGTCTTGTGGTGTTAGTAATAGGCCCGACGTCTTCACCTAATGCGTTCAGTTGGCTACGCAAATCGGCATCAGAAATGATGTCCGTGGCCGCCATTTTCAAAAGATTTTGAAACAGGCCAGGTTACCTTTCGGCTAACAAGAAGTTTGAACAGCCGCTGATACGATTATTTTTCACCACACCCCACAAATCCCCAGTAGCAATGTTAGTGTAAATAATAAAATCGTAAATTTCTGCATGGCTCTTCTCAGAAAATCTTTCCTTTGATCAATCATTATGGCGATGATCAATATATGTGGAGTCAGAAATGTTTAAGTTCCGAAGAAATTATAGGACCAAAACCTCTTTACAGTCTTTTAATAAGAGGCGCAATGGAGATCAAGAATCAAATCAATTTCGCTGGTCGAAGGTGAAGTAACAGTGTCACGAACGAGAAAACATGTCACAGGTAGATTGTCGCAGATACAATTTGGTGTAAATACATTAAAATGACCATTGACGGGGAGCTGGCTATAAAAGACAGACTCGAACCAGAGTATGGAAGGGTTGCACCACATTAGAGTAATTTTGATACAGGAGAGATTACTGACCGACGAATGCTATTATCATTCTCGTGTGAACTGTGTGACCTCTACCCCAGGGAGACTCTCGAGGAGACCAATGTCGGCGTGGCTTAGCCTCCCACGCAGACGTTCTCGGGGGTTCGTCACGCGTTCCTAGCCTGCGTAGCAGGCGTCGAAAGGGGTAGGGGGTAGGGGATAGGAAGGAAGGGAAAAAAGGGAGGGGGATTGGGGAGAGGGGGAGGGGAACAGAATCTACAACGATCGTTACATACACCATCCTTTTTTCGTCCTCGTCCCCTTTTCCCTTTCTCCCTCCCCCCTCCCCCTCCCCTTTTTGCGCCTGCCACGCAGGCTACGCGTTCCTAGAACGTCTGCGTGGGAGGCTAGGCGTGGCTTGACCGGGCTCCATTTGATTCCTAAAGGAGACCTTAGTTACTCCAGTACAGTATAGACTGCGAGCAGTCCCTCAGGATGGTAGACTCGACTGACTGCAGGGACTGCTCGTAGTCTAAATACAGTATGACGGCGTTCGTTATTTTGCGATTTCAAGAAAGAATAATGGGAATAATTATCTCTAATCCAAGAGAAGTCTTTGTTTCAAATCAAGACTGAATGTCCAACTCACTCTTTTACTCTATGGTCTGCCATATCCGAGATATTGAAAAAAGATAAGGGAGACGTGAAACTTCCTCTATTTTCTCAGCTATTCCCCAGTTAAAATTTTCTCATCTTCTCAGCAGCTGGACTTCAACGACAATAAAATCAGTACATAAATAGTATGCCTGCCCAGTAACATACTCATCTGCACTTGGCCGGCCGCTCGTCTCCTTTAAAAAATTCCAGCATTTCTGTTTATTACTGACCTAAATCACAGCCTTTTAAAGTTGCTTGAACGAGTTAGGTGATAAGTTGTGTTCATCAAATATAAAGCTCGACTTTNCCCAGGGAGACTCTCGAGGAGACCAATGTCGGCGTGGCTTAGCCTCCCACGCAGACGTTCTCGGGGGTTCGTCACGCGTTCCTAGCCTGCGTAGCAGGCGTCGAAAGGGGTAGGGGGTAGGGGATAGGAAGGAAGGGAAAAAAGGGAGGGGGATTGGGGAGAGGGGGAGGGGAACAGAATCTACAACGATCGTTACATACACCATCCTTTTTTCGTCCTCGTCCCCTTTTCCCTTTCTCCCTCCCCCCTCCCCCTCCCCTTTTTGCGCCTGCCACGCAGGCTACGCGTTCCTAGAACGTCTGCGTGGGAGGCTAGGCGTGGCTTGACCGGGCTCCATTTGATTCCTAAAGGAGACCTTAGTTACTCCAGTACAGTATAGACTGCGAGCAGTCCCTCAGGATGGTAGACTCGACTGACTGCAGGGACTGCTCGTAGTCTAAATACAGTATGACGGCGTTCGTTATTTTGCGATTTCAAGAAAGAATAATGGGAATAATTATCTCTAATCCAAGAGAAGTCTTTGTTTCAAATCAAGACTGAATGTCCAACTCACTCTTTTACTCTATGGTCTGCCATATCCGAGATATTGAAAAAAGATAAGGGAGACGTGAAACTTCCTCTATTTTCTCAGCTATTCCCCAGTTAAAATTTTCTCATCTTCTCAGCAGCTGGACTTCAACGACAATAAAATCAGTACATAAATAGTATGCCTGCCCAGTAACATACTCATCTGCACTTGGCCGGCCGCTCGTCTCCTTTAAAAAATTCCAGCATTTCTGTTTATTACTGACCTAAATCACAGCCTTTTAAAGTTGCTTGAACGAGTTAGGTGATAAGTTGTGTTCATCAAATATAAAGCTCGATTTTTCTGATGAGTTATATTTTCTATTGAAAGTCAGCAGGGCTTGGGACGACTTTTTGTATTCTGGTTTGTAGCCGATAGGATTATTTATTTTTTTCATTAAGCCTTAAACAATTAATATTCCAACCCCGGGGAAAATGCGACGGCTATAACTCGTATGTTCTTCTTTCTCTCTGAAACTTGCTGCAAATTATACTCTAACTCATCCGCGCTATCTCTTCTGTTCGTTCCAAAAGTCAACTGCTCTACACTTGAAGATCTCGCCTTTGCTTATGCTGCACCTGTTTTATGGAACTTGCTGCCAGTAACTATTAGTACTAGTAGCAGCCTCGCCATTTTTAAAAAGCAATTTCGAGTGTAAAAGATTTCCTTTAGGGATGCAGTTAATTTGTTGGAATAGTCCTGGTGAACGTTTAGCACTTTTGAATATTTAGAGAACTTTAAAATTTCTTTTTAGATTTAAGTATGTTTTAATTGTAACTGAATGTAAAGCGCTTTTGAATATTGTTTATAATATTTGCGCTGTACAAACTCATTATTATTATTATTATTATTATTATTATTATTATTATTATTATTATTATTATTATTATTATTATTATTATTATTATTATTATTATTATTATCATTACTATTATTATCATTAAGAGGCTCGCGAGTGTCTAGAAGAGTCCATTAAGAAATGTCGGACACGGATTTAGATATTAAGAATTTTTCTGAAAGGACTCGCCAATATTCAATAAGACAATTGAGAACGTTATTTTATTTCCCCTTTTTCCCTTAGAATACGTTTACACTCTTTTTTTTCTATGGGAATACATTTTATAAAAATATTGAGACTAAAAAACAACATTCGTAAAAAAGAGTGTACTATTAATAATAAATATATTTAAAAAATCATATATATCGAAAAATCCAAGTGAATTGTTTCTTTCAATTGAAGTGAAATGTTTTTTAATTCGAATAACTTTCTTTTAATTGAAATGAATCTTTTTAAATCGAAATTGTGTGTTATTGTTGTTAGACAGGGCGGGTAGGGGGAGGGGTTCCAATGAGAAGGAGGCAAAAAAATGGAATTAAACCCTAAAGGAGAAAAACCTGGCGTGGCTCTAAGGTTTCTTAGACCCGACAAGATACCATTCTAAAACGGGTAGCTAATATAAGAGCTACTGTAATTTGAATTGTGATAATGGCGTGATTGATTGCGTCTTCTTTTCCTTTTTCTTCTCCTGCTTTCTTCGAGTCAAATATTGCCGGGGACGCCGATTTATCATATATACCCCAAGTGAGAACAGAGTCTGAAATCTACACCCCTTAAGAGACGAGGAGTTCGGGTGGGATTTCCCCCGCAAGGGGCCTGATTCCTTAGTACCAGCTTGACACGGACGTCAGTACATTCTTTATTGTCATTGCCACTCATATTATGATAATTGTCTGTAAAGTTCAGGTTATGGCAGTTTTTCAGGCACCGAATTAGGCAAAGATAATCGATATCATCTTTCCTTGTCTTCATACAGTTTGCGTCGAAACCTTGATCCCACCAAATATCTTTGCTACAGATTCAAAAAAAGGGTCGCAAAATGTTCTCAGGCAGAGCCCAAATACTTTGCCTAAGCATTGCAACTCAATAACGTACGCCTTCAGGCAGGGCATTATACACCAAACATAATCAAAACTGAGACAGGCAAAATATATCCCACAAAGCACTGCGGTAGGGATGCCAAGAATAGCTGTAATTATTCTGTAACACCAGAACTTTGTGTTAACAAAGGCCTTGAAGCTAGTACGCCAAACTCCATCAATACTATGGGATCCTTCTGGTTCGGCAAACACATCTTGAAAAAACACCTAGATGAAAAGGAATGAAATATTTCAACATTAAAGTCTGAAAATTTCCTTGTAACTGGAACTGAAAAGTTCTGTAAATTTTCATATACACCAGAAGGCCTAGAAGACGTGCTGGTCTATCACAAGGGTCACCTGTGAAGTTTTTTTGTTTATTTTACCCAATGATGTTTTTCTCACGGTTAAAGATCTGGTTTAAAACATTGTAGAACTGGTCATGCAATCAAAGTGATCTCTTCAGCCGACCAAGCTCTTAGTCAACATCGATCACCATCGTCTTGATATACGATTTTAAAATCTGGGAGGTGGCTGTTAAGTCGACTAAAAAAGTACCAGATGGAAAACATTATTTTCAAACGCGAAAGTATCAGTGGTAATGAATGTATTATGCGAAGTGTTTTTGGAGTTTTAGTCACCATATGTTTACGTGAATACGATTGCTTTGTCCAATGGTCGTAGAACTTAATTCACTGGGTGAAAAGGGTTGCAACTCATATGCCAAGAAAAATTTCTTTCTCCATTGTAAATCCTTGGATGAAAATTGGTAAATAATACAAATACGTTTTTATCCATTTTGAAAGTGTAAGGGTTAGCGTGTTAAATTCAGTGCCTGTGTCGTCGGTTTATTTACCTTCACGTGATCATTCATTGCTGTGGGATCTCTATCTTTCATACTTATTTGATGTCCGTGTTGTGCTTCGTTTTCATTGCCTCTGACTTGTACTTCAACCTCGCGCAGTTCATCTCTGGACATGGTTCTTGGCTTTGTCGCAAAATGTATCAAAACGTATCACACTAAAATGGAATATAAACTCAGAGGAAACCTATAAAAACACAACATCGAATCTGTCTTTACAACCACCTGTATGAAAAGCAAATAATTGAATTTGACTGGTAGTTTGTTCTTTGTGTTTCAAAAGGTATTTAAACAAAAACAAGGAGAGGGTTTGTGAGGAGGACGTAGTAAGTTTGCACTGGCTTATTGCATCACGAAAAAAAAAATAAAGGAAAATAGGAAGAAGATAAACTAGCTTTTCGTTGAATCTTTAAAATTTTGACAATAGCATTCAAAATGAAAATGTAACCTGTTCTGCCGTATCTAGCACTCAGGTTTCCGTCGTCGCGGTTAATCTAACCGTGAGGTATCGGGTGCTTAAGAAAAGAGACGGGAAAAAAAGGCGCGGGCAGGACCGTGAGCGGGCAGGGAGAGCCCTCGCCCCAACCCTGTGCCTCTCCAACCCGTCTCGGTCGAAAAGAATTATCTCTTTGTGTCTGACTGGATCTTGATAGAAGGTGCCTGCACTCATCCTCTAGAGAGCCAAGTCAGCTCAAGTCCAAGAATCAAGAACTCACACTCCCCACCCATGACACTTATGACTAGTCAATCGCTGTCCCCGAGCTCTGCAATTAGCATTATGATTATCAGTCAGAGCATTGATTTGGCTGGGCTAGCCCACGGGGAAAATTCCTTGACTTTGCACTGCTTTCTCACTAAAAACACTTACCAGAGTATCTGAAGTTCCCCCTACCAAATCCCGGCTAGAACTACTTACCTACCGACCTGGACCTATCTACAAGCACCGGTTTCAGTGCGGACGGAAAGACCGATACATTTTTGTTTGGGCTCCCTGGCTTTAAAATGGACGATACCCGTGTTCAAGAGAAACCCCGGGGGACACGTTTTAGCAAATTCAGTTCACACAGACGTAATAAAATGTACTTTCCCAAAAAAGCGTTTATAGTGATTGTTTCAGTAGCGGAAACTACATTCTTTTTCGTTTTGTTTATGGCATTTTAAAAATCTACTGATTTCCATGAATAGTCACATTAAAAACAACGTGGAGTATTAAATTAATTCTTATAACTTGTCAGTGGCATGGAATGGTGAATTCGATGGGTTACATATGTTAAAACGTAAATGCAACTTCCAAACGCACTCGATATAGGAAAAGGAGATTGCGCTTTACATCACTCGGAATAAATAATTCAGTCACATAATGTTATATTTATTCATATAAGGTTGTCAAAACTAATAAATTTGACCAGAAATGTGACTGTAGTTTGCAACGCTTCCACAGCTCGACACAGCGGTCTACCCGCCAAAGGGGATGTGGGGCGTAGAAGCTGCTGAAACCCCATGACTTTGTATGTAATCTTATTCCGCGGAATCCCAGAGTTTCCCAGTTATGAACCTAGCTATTACCGAGATACCAAAATGCAAAAGCCACGTGCTTCGACCACAGGCCGTTCTTTCTCGCTTGAAAATAGTCAAGGAGAAGAAGGGTGTAAGGAAGAGCAGCGTAACACTCCCGTTTAGTTAGAAACATTTCCTCCCTGGCTCAAGCGAGCACACCCAGGTCCGTCGACTATCCCGAGAAAAAATAGGGCCTTGGTAATAAAAGGTCTCTACAAGTACATGTAGGATACTCGCAATTTTTTTTTTCGAACAGTAGCATCATACTTGAAAGGTTTTTCGTTCAATTTTTACTCCACCGAAAATTTTCCCCACGGATTCGAAAAATGGATCGAAGAAGCTGCGAACACACAAACTGAACAACTTTCCAAGGAATTGCAGCTCGATTGTGTAGGCTCTTAGACATGGCATTATACACCATATGTAATCAAAACTGAGGCATGCGAAGTAGATTCCACACTAAATGGCTGTTGGAACGCCACAAACTGCGGTGATGATCCGGTAACACCAGTACTTAGTTAGTACAAACGCTCTGAAGCTGGTTCGCCACACGCCATCGATGCTGTGAGAACCCTCGGGCTCCGCAAACACGTCTTGAAAAAAAACCTTGGTGAAAAGGAAAGAACGAAAGTGAATGTAGACTACGTAATGGCAGCGTAGCCGAGTGGTCAACGCGTCGGACTCGCAATCTGGCGGTCCCTGGTTTGAGGCTCGCTCTGGCCACTTACTGGATTTGTTCAAATCCTCGGCCACTGTTGTAAATAGCCAACTGGTTGCCTCCACCAGTTAGGGTTTTTAATCCTGTTATGTTATATTTGAATTATTTGGTTCAGACTAAGTATTTTTGTAGAGTCCCTGTGAACTAGATGGATAAGCTAAGTGCACTTTCCACTATAAACAAACGTTTTACCTTAACAGTTATGATAGTGCTACTCCTTTTTTAGTTCTAACCAATGCAACCAATTAATGACTAAGCTTGTCCTGGCTCTCTACTCTCCAGCCCACAGTGAACGCTATACTATCAAAATAAAAGATGACGACTACACGCGACAAATACTGAGCGCTTTTTTATTGGTGAACTGTGAGTTGATCAGATGGATACAACTCTCAGCCGTGGATCAGGGCTACGGGAAGTTCCAAATCACTTCAAATCCTTATGTAAGATGGTGATCGATCACAATCAGTTAATTTAATTCCCCCTTTTCAAAGTGAAAGTAAAAAATATAAATAAATAAAAAAGGCCTACATGTCAATAAAATAAACAAAGACTATTAAGTGCAGAAATTAAGCAAAACATTTTCGTACTCCTTATGGAAAATTAATAAAACCCCAATCTATGCCTCCTGGCATTGTTTTCGATGCTGCTGCCCTTAAAATAAAAGTAACAAGTCTGACGGTTGGTACCAAATTTACAAATGGGTACAGGAAATTCCGCTTATCCTTTGGTACCTCTGGCTGGGTACATGGGAATTCTGCTTGTCTCCTGGTAAACGACGCGAATGAAAACGTCGCTGGAAAAAAAGACCACTTTGCGTTCTTTCAAACTTTATGGCATCTATTTAGACCCGTCCCATTTGTCAAATGTGGACGATTTTTTTTCTGGAGTTTAATCCTTAAGGACGTTATCCAGGTTAAAAAAATTAAAGGAGAATTCTTCGTCGTGTGTTCACGTCCTCCACGGGCATTAACCTGGGACCAGGCTCCGCAGTGGGGGAAAAGGTAGCCTGCGAATGCAGACGTATTTCCGGTCGTCGCTTCTGTTACGCCACAAAATGTAACAATTGACGCAAAATGTAACATTAACGCGAAATGTAACAACTTTTGACGCGAAATGTAACATTAACCCGAAATGTAACAACTTTGGAAGCAAAATGTAACAACTTTTTAACGCGAAATGTAACAACTTTTTTACGCAAAATGGAACAATATTTTTAACGCGAAATGTAACAAGCAAAATGTTACAGCCTTGAAATAACTGAGAAGCTAGGACATGAACCTTGTAGATAATGTGTAAATTGTCTGGTGGTTACAGTTTATTCATAAAGTTTTCTTATGTCAAATAAACTTACGAAAGGTCTTAAAACAGGTGATAAAGTTACAAGTCATGTATAACCTTGGAATAGCAGTATGGACAATAACAACAACGCTAACTTATTGAACATAACGTAAGTTAAAAGTAAAAGTTAAGAAAGGTAATCTTTCAAAAGAAAATTTTGAACGTAGTGAATAACATAGATATGAAATTTCTCATTTCTTACCGGACTTCCATGGCCAGTAAATGTGAGAAATTTCATACCTTTTAGGGAAAAGGGGAGGAGGTGGGTAAACAGACGGCGTCGGATAAAAACAGAAAGCATCTTCACTCGATAAAAGTGTGAAAAGAATGATCAGTAATCGATACTCGCCTCGATTTCATACGGGCTCAACTCCCTAGAGGGAGTATGCTAAAAATGTACCATCCTAACCCATCTAATCCGTCATGGATTATGTAACGCCAACTTTCTTTTAAGCGTCACCCATAAGTACAGAAAGATATATTAAACAACAATTCGTTGAACTGTTTCAGGATTTAGTTACTATTATCGAAAAACGTTTTGTAAGTTTATTTGACATCATAAGAAAACTTTATAAATAAACTGTTTTTGTAACCACCAGACAATTTACACATTATCTACAAGGCTCATGTCCAAGCTTCTCAGTTATTTCAAGGCTGTAACATTTTGCTTGTTACATTTCGCATTAAAAATATTGTTTCATTTTGCGTCAAAAAGTTGTTACATTTCGCGTCAAAAAGTTGTTACATTTTGCGCCAAAAGTTGTTACATTTCGGGTTAATGTTACATTTCGCGTCAAAGGTTGTTACATTTCGCGTTAATGTTACATTTTGCGGCGTAACAGCTTCTCTCCACTAGGAAGCGGGTGGAGACTGAGAAGCCCAGACTTCCTTTCCCAGACTACCGCTCGGCTCGCTTCACTTGCCTTTTTCCCAACTGCGGAGCCTAGTGACAGGCTAGTCCTCCATAAAACATCTAATAATATAAGGACGTTCCAGGCTGTAGCTGTGCAGTGGACGTCAAGGAAATGTACTACAAAGCATGATGCACGAGAAAATTAGCTCTTGTTTTGGTCATAAAACCTCAGTTGTTTTTGGCGTTGTTTTCAGCGTGGTTGTCGTGGTTGTACATTAACATAAGACAGCCGGATTTTCTTTTTTTTTTCGCCAACCTTTCTTAATTCCTTAAAAATAATTAGCTTCAAACAAATTCGCTTACATCATGATAAATTGAACGAGTTAGAATAACAGCATCAAGGTTCAGTGAAGCAGTTCGAATTCGCTCTCTCTGCTGAAAGAGGCCTGTTTTGCCTGGTATTCGGCGGGAATACCAGGCAAAACAGGCCTTTGTTATCAGGGAAAAATTCGCTTACACGTCTCTCACTTGGCTTCTATCTCAAGGTTTGGTGTGTTATTTGGGAGACACAACGAAACTATTAATCTATGCTTTTTTTGATCAGGAGTTACAAATATATCGCCTTCCTCGATAAGTAGAAGCATATTTCTACTTTGCAAAATTAAAATTGTTTTGTATGGATCAGTAAACGAGGAATATTCATGCGATGTTTGGCGCTCTTGCCGGCCAAACATATTTCGTCTTGCCTCTCTTTACAGGATTTCACACGTTCTAACCTCTTGCCACATTGAAATTGCTTTGTGTGGACGGTTTCGTAGAATGAGATGTTGGTCGCTCTCACTGGTGAGACATATTTGGTCCTGCCTAGCCTTACTGTAAGTATTTGCTTGCAACCTCAAGCGTCCCCAGCGTCTTCTCGTTTTCCAATATGGCGGTGGCCTTAGCGGTGGCCGCTATATTGGAATACGAGAAGACCCTGGGGACGAGGTTGATATCTCTGAGGAATGGAATTTCTTTTTTTTCGTATGTAGGTCACGTTAGTTGTTCTTTTTTTCTTTAACCTTTGAGTTCTTTGAGTTACGTAATCAGGATGGTGAAAAGTGGAAATTACGGAATCTCTTCGTAAAATGTTTTGTTCTCCAATTAGAGTTTATTTAGTATTGGCTTGTTAAAAGCAATTAGAGTCTATTTTTGTCTAGCAAAATGTGATTCGAACCTTCTGTTGCAGTGTAAAGAAATAGAAAGTAAAAAAGAGAAAAGTTGGTTTTTGGTGCGGTAGAAGGAAAAGAACAAGTGGAGATGGTTAAAAGAAAGGGATTATAACAATTTTTGTGGCAGTGTGAAGGAACATATAATGTAGCATCAGGTTTAATTTCTTCATTGTTTTGTCTTTTATCTTTTACCTCTTCTCGAAATTGATATTAGGTTAATTATTATCAGGACTATTAATATCGTCAGTATTAATATATTGCTTTTCTTTATATTGTCATTGTATTGCAAATAGGGAATATTTTATACTTAATATCTTTTAGTTACTTTTGCCTATTTACAATTGAAAAGCCATTGTATAGTCATAGCAATAGCTTCATTTAAGTCTCTATTTTGCGAATGAGACACACTAGTGCTAGTGATACATACTAAATATTTTCAAATTTTAGCAAGCGCACATTTATTACGTATTTCCACTCAAAATATAGCGGTGGTTAGCTCGAAAGCTAAGCTCCTCTGACCACCGTACACTTCTATCCAAGTCATTAATTTTATTTTTTCCTTCTTCTTCTCCTTTATTAGTGCATTCCTACCTTACTATATAATGTAAATATTTTATAAGAGGGTGAATAAAAATTGAATTGAATGGAGTTGAATTGAATTGAATTGAACTATTATTAAGGAAATACAAGAGGTGTATTGTCCCGGGGGGGTACTCCCTTTTAAGGGCTTAATGGGGACGTGCGGCCAGCCAGGGTATGTTTTCGGGATTTTTGTCTTAAACAGGGTATTGAGTTTATCAATTTTTGTCTTAAACAGGGTATCTTTTCTTAGACAGGAGCCCATAACCCTGTTCTTAGACGATAAACAGCTTGCGGTTATGTTCTACGAATGTCTTAAACTGGGAATCAAAAATTGGAATTCTGTCTTAAACAGGGTGGGAAAATCAGCGATTTTTGTCTTAAACAGGGTCAGGGTATGAGGAGCCGAGCCGCACCTCCCCACCCAAGGATATATCGAGTACCCCCTCCCCCGGGTGTATTGTATCCTCTTAGTCTTTAACAACTCCTCTTGCTAAACTAAGCCCGAAACAGTCTTTGCAAAAAAGTATAGAAATGATGTTAGGAAAAAGGAATCTTGGACCCCTGGACGTTTACCTTAACGTGGTCGTTCATATTCGAAGGATCTCTGTCTCTTATATCTATTTTTGTGACCCACGTACAGTGCTGGCTGCATGTCATCTGTAATGGTTAATCGAGGCTTTGTTTGTTCTGCTTGGAACTCTATTTCTTCGGTTAGGTTCTGTTTTGATGTCATGCTCATACTATTTTTAAAAATCCCCAGAAAGCGAATTAAAAATACGATCGTTCCACAATCCAGTGTTATAGCTGTATATACGCCTGTAGAGATGTAAACAATACTTTAATCGCGGGTTTTTATAATTGATATCTACAATAGGTCCAATCAATTTAAGGTTAATTAATGACGAACTAGTCACATCATTGTCACACAAGCTTTCCAACGCCCCCTACTCATTTTGAAAAATGGGCGTATTCAAATCAAATCTCTTTCAGCCTACAGTGCAGACAAATTTTTTGGTAGAGAGAGAGAGCACTAATTAGTAGTTTCATCCTCTCCAACACTCCCGTTGCGATTTCAATAATTAAAAGTAGTAAAAAAAAGTGTTTGAATGCAGAGGTCCACGCAACGCGTAAATATATTAACTGACTGGTTCCCCTTGCTGGATCTCTAATCAAAGAGATGCTGTAGTCAGACGCCACTTAAAGTGTGAAATTAAAAGCAAAATTCAATGCAGGGCTGGCACTACGGCAAAGGGCTTATTTATTATTGGCCAATCTTTCGCCTAACAAAATTAGCCTTCCTCAGGGCCAGAACTATACCTCAAAATACTGAGAGAAAATATCTTTTAAAAAGAAGAATTTAAAATTCATAGAACTGGTTAATAATTAACTACAAGTATAAATACTAGATAGAATAATGTACAAAATAAAAAAATGATTACAGTATGTTGCCCAGTATCCGGACGGTACCAGTATCCGGACACTTTAAACAAAAACTCAATTTTTGAGGCGCCCTTTTCAGTTCTCGGTAAATGAAGTATTTCGAATGAAAGCTGAACATTTCAGCTTTAAGATAAAAGTTTTGGCGATTTGAAAGCTTGCGAAACAGTCGCAGAAGACGCCGTTCTGTTCAAGTGAATAAACTTTTCATGGCTAATATTTCCGCTGTTTACTGCGCAGTAAAGTTAGTGCTGGTCAGAAAAGGGAGGGTAATGTGTGTTATTTTCAAAGAAACTGTTTTATTTTTAAAGTGAAGATACTTAAGGAAGTCAGGTTTTCAGAAAGTTTATTAATTCTTCTAGAAATTCGATTTGTTTGGAATAACGGAAGCCAGAAACATTCACTAAGTTTTGATGTCATGTGCCCAGTATCCGGACAGTTTTTTCTTTGCTGTACACAATCGATGAATTAGCTGTGTACATTCTCCGGATAAGATTTATTTCATATCAGTGACTATAATTAAAGCTTAGGATATATGATATAGTCGTAAAATGTAACTCTACTCAACTCCGTATGGAAATTTTCTTCACTCATTCAGAGGCGACTTGATTTCGTGTGCGCCGCTTCTTTCGCGTGACTGCATTTTCTATATATAACTGAAAGCGTCCGAGTTGAACCTGGAATTCTCATACTTTTCCCAGTTGGGACTGCTAGAATGGGGTTGCAATGGTCTAAAAAATGTCACAAAGGGATTGAGAGATGTGAAAGAAGGAGGAATTAGTGCTAGAAAAGT